GCATGGACGTTATCTGTATCCCTAGTTCCTAGTACAATCTTAATCGTTGTAAATCCAATTGCATCCATCATCTAAGTAATATAAAACTCCTATGTGTTGTGCTTATTTTGAGTTAATAAATATAGTGCATAGTATTTTGTGGTTTCTCTCCACTGCGATCCACACCTCGTTGAGCAGATAGCTAACACCAAGAGGTACATATTTTAACACCGATCGTTTGCAAGTCAGTTTACGAATCGATCTCTTTTAATTTTCGTCATAAGTACTACTATTCTGTTATAAAAACAGCCTTAAAACCGTTGAGGAACGAAGCACTGTTATAACGTTAAAGCTCAACCGAATAGAAAGTATTTCAAAAGGTAATATAGGTTTTATTTTATTAAATCTTTGTAACGTGACAGCGCTAGGTTCGACGCTGTATATTTACAGAATACCTAAGCAGGTCGTTTGTTCGAGTGGAAAAGTTAAACTTTGTTTATAAGAAAACGGTATAGCTGCATAAAGAATACAAAGTATCACATTTTAAATTACATATTAAAACTTTTCGCATATATAAATATACGGCTAATATATGGCTTTAGAGTTAAGATAAAAATTGGCTACGTTTCAAAATTTGATTGCGGTAATAATATTCAGCGCAGAGGTGAGTTGTGACAAGGAGGATTTCTCTCTATGTATTATAGTAAGCGAGATGGAATTAACGCTTGTTTGTCGTTCTCGACACGCGCTACACGACTCAGTACCTGTCGACGGTGCATGTGGCACAGTTGCGTAAATATATCATCAGTGTACAAAAAATTACGAAAAGTAAGTTTTTCTTCAAAATATTATTTGAATATATATCATATCTTGGTATATGTGCATTGATGTGTTATTTTTTCTTAAGTTATGTAGTTATTTAAGTCTCAATACGTGGCACTGATTTTTTGTATGCGCATCGTGTTTAGAAAATATGAATTATTATTCGGACCAAGACGTCATTTTGAACACCTAGGTGAGTTGTGACAGCCTGTCACAACTCTCCTATCTTACTCCATATTTCTGCTGGGCTATTTTTACAATTTTTTTATTAACTTTAGATGTCTGTTGGTGTGTTAGTAGCTACTTAAGGTGTATAATGGCATACCGCATACTTATTTTTTTTGAGAATGCCGAATAACTATACACTAGAGACTGAAAATCTAAGAATGTTAAGAAGCGTGTCTTAAGCGAAGAATAAAAAAAACCTAAAAAAGCAAAGAAGACTAATAAAAAGAATAGAACAAGTGATGAAGAAAATAATTGCTTTTATTTGGTTTGCCTTGAAGCCTATGCAGACAGCAGATCGAATGATCAGTGGGTCTAAAGCCTGGAATGCAAAGGCTAGGCACACGTAGATTGTACTGCGGACGAGCTGCATTACGTTTGGCATAATTGTGAATCTGAGTAGATTAAGATTTTATACTGATTATAACAATAATATGATTGATCTCAAAGCGATACCATATTTAGTTAATGAAAATATTATAATTACTTGTTATGAGAATATTAATACTATGTTGTTTTAGTTGGTAGGTATTAAAAGATGATTAATCAAATCAAATCAATCTTTATTGTTGATCGCAGGTTATATAAAGATATTGGATGCAAGGACTGAATAGTTACACCGTGATCTGCCTAATAGGCATACAATATTAGTAGGTTAGTAATTGTCAACTAATCTAATCAATAACATGCTATGTCAAAAATTCAATTAATTCATTAAGTATTTATACATTTACAAAGTACTGTCAGCTAGATACTCGTTTACACTATAATATACTTTAGCTACTAATAATTTACAAAGTTTTCTTTTAAAAACATTACAATTATTCAGATTACGTATTGTTTTTGGAATTTTATCAAAAATTTTTGGAGCCATACAAAAGATACTTTTGTTCTTAGAGGGTATCGTACGCAATCTCGTCTTATTTTCAAATAGTTGTTGATTCTGTTTGACAAAAATACCAACTTCGAATATATAGATTGATGGCAGGGTCATAATATTTAGTTTAATAAAATATGGCCTACAGGTATCCCTGCTCTGTAAATGACATATGCTCCTAACACATTTTTTCTGGGCTCTAAAGGCAGTTACAGAATCAGTCGAATATCCCCAAAATATAATGCCGTATCGAACAGTAGAAACTACGTCCGCGTGATAAGCTGTAAAGACCGTGCACTGATTCGCGATCTTACTAAGTTTGTACAGTGCACAAGAATACTGGGACAACTTTTTGCAAACATGTTCAATGTGTGTTTTCCAAGTCAAATTTATTATTATAGTACTGATTAAGGTACTGATTTGATAAAAGAACGTGCTTGATTTATTTATGTCGTATGTAATGGTATTTTTATATCTTATAGCTTAAATACAATGGTGTCACAACTTACCTCGGTACCTGTCACAACTTACCTCGGTGGTAGGAGAGTTGTGACAAGGGGAGTGGACTTGAATTTTGTTATTTTTTTCAGAAACTATTATACTTTAATTAATTTTACTGATGGTTTTGAAAACAGAAGGAATGGCTCTAAACTAATTCACATGAGTCATAACTGTGGCATGTTTCTTAAGCGAGATAGAGCCCCTTATGTAAAAATTGTCACAACTCTCCTGAAGTTTAAGTAGATAGATAATTCATTTATTTGTATTATAAATTAGCACACATACATTATAAATTCTTTACAATAAATAAAAAAAAAACACTTTAATGGGTGCAAAACGGGTAAAAGCTCAACGATTCCTTTGCTGTGCGTCATCATGCGTCGGTTGGAGTTAATTCCAAATTTTTGCATATCAAGTAGTAGTTTTAATTTGTTTTTTGAATGAAAATCTAAGTACAGGTTGAGACATGCTTAACATTAAATACTCAATTCAGAAACCGGGTGTATACCTTTCAATCTCATTGTACTCGTCAATGAGATGAGACATTAGATGGAAAATTGTGGAGAAAATACTTTTTATTTCATTACACGCAAACTATTACAATTTTTGTTAGTGTTGCACAGCAAATGGCTGTAAAGCAACTCACACGTTTATAAATCGTTTTTTAAACTGATCAAAAACCTTTGATCAGTTTAAAAAACGTTGTCTGCATAAAGTACAAGAGACCAATTAAATAATTGTCCTTCAAAAATATCTGGCGAAAGAATTATTTCTACTGTTTTATTAGAAAACAAACCGGGAGGAAAAAGGCAATTAAGGCCTTTGTGGACCTTTGGGCGTAGTTACAATTCAAAATTCACTTTTAGTCTGGTGAGATTTTACGTTTAAAATTCCATCTGTCGTGAGATTTCTTAAGAGAAATTGAAGACTGATCTTTGTATAGGTATTACAATACAAAATAAAGTAATAAATATAGCTAATTCTATTTGTGTCAGTTGTTAGGGTTGTTATTGGACCTGTAATATTTGAGACTGTTTCATCTATCGATCACCTTTCGCATTCTTTAAAAATACAGCGACGAACGCAGCGACAAACTGCGCTGTCGCAGTATTTAAAGGCAATGTTAGATTGAAGTGTACAGAAGATAACAGTTCAACAAAGATGTTTAGGGCGTTGCAGACGTGACAGAGCTATGCATTTTAGAATCGGATAGGAGTTAAACTGAAGGAGCTGGATACGACCCAAGGGTGGTGAGAAATATTAAGTGAATCGGTGAACTATTGGAGCGATGCTTGTTCTGGTGGAAGGCCCCGAGGAAGTGAAATCGTGATTTCAAATACTTAGGAGCATGTGTATCGAAAAAAAACGGAATATTGAAGACGGTTTATAAAGTCTTTCAGCACCTGCACTCACGAATTAGATGTTCGGGATGTGGTCATATTTATGTAATTAGAAAACGAAGCGAATAGTATTGTAATAATATAATATTATTTGATTCTTATTGAGTTACTATCCCAGTCAACTCGCCTTTCTTTTACTTCGATAGCTAAGTAATAGGACCTCATTGAAGAATTAAGCGAATTTCCCTTGTACCCTTTCCAGCAGTAAAACATATTTCTCTTCATATGAATTCCATACAGCAGCAGCATATTCGAGAAAAATTTATTTCCCATTACCACCACCACCACCAGCCCTTTTACGTCCCCACTGCAGGGGCTCAGGCCTTCCTTATGGATGGTTAAAGAGGATGGGCCATGACCCTCCACGCTGGCCCAATGTGAATTGGAGGGTATTAACGACAGCCGGGACCAACGGCTTAACGTGCCTTCCGAAGCACGAAGTAGCTTGAGATAATAATTTTTTGGTCACCCATCCCGTGACTGACCCTTGCGAAAGTTTCTTAACGACAACGATCGCGGGCCGCGGCGCTTATGCACTACGCCACCGAGCTACTTGATGTTATACGATGTATCTTGATGTTATTATTCATTTATTTATTCATAACCTAATTTCAACTGTGCAAATTTCCGTTATTGTTAACAATAAACTATTTGAACAGTACATACTGTGTGCATATGGAAATAGGGTTGCCATCTTCTAAAGTATATAAAAATGCTCGACTCTGCGCTTTTTTAGGTCAGACATTTTGCTCGAAAAGCCCGGCTTATAAAGTCAAACATAACTTTTATAAAATCGGATGTACGTATTTGATTTTTGACAAGACTTATAATTATAGAAAAATCTGTTACACGTAAAAGGTCTTTATTAATAATAATAAAACATTATGGTCGCTTATTCCTGAACATGAAGCTTGTGTTCGTTCTACAGATGCAACGAGCACGAGTACTATCAAAAGCATAACAAAAGCCGCTCAGGACGGACATATATATAGACATACATATATATATTTGAACCGGACTGATGTCAACCCTGTATGGGAAGTTTGAGTATTATATCAAATCAGGTGAGCGTGATCATTGATAAGATAAGATAAACAAATTTCTATCTGGATATCACAGATCACAAGTTACTTCGCTATGCATTTAGAAAATAATTTTTCAATAATTCCTATATTTGCCTTTCGAAAACAGATTTAAAATCGTTTGGCGAATTCATCTTTTATGAGCTTACTGTTTATTTGATGAACCTTTGAACTGCTGTATCGAAAACAGTTACGGTAATTTATATGTATTAACTAAGTAGTAGTTAATAAGAGTCTTTAATGCCACAATATCATTTATTGAACGAACACCAGCTGTCTCGGTTGTGTTAAGAATAATTAAAATGTTTCCATCAACGTTTTCGATAGCTTTATTAATCATTTGTGCAACAATAGTTCTCGGCAAAGACTGTATCTATGATCCATGGGGGGTTTGTAAGTATTATATGTTTGTTGTTGTTCATATTATATGTTTGTTAAATAATCATATTCAATTAAGTTGTGTTTGTTTAAGTTTAAGTTGTCTTTTGTTTTATTTGTAATGCTGTACTTAATTATTACTTTAGAACAGATTATCAAACAAATAAAATATTATTATACCCTTTTGACACAACACACTCAGATACTATCAATATGTTTTGAAATTGATTAATATGTTTTAATAAAATCAAGGTTAATATTCCATATTTTTTTAATTCACCATGTCAAGGTGAATTGATATGAAGTAGAGGTTTTGATTATTTATATTTTGTTGTCAACTTTCTTGAGGGGTCTGAAATCGAAGATATGCGAAGACAAGTAATCTGATCAATTAGATTTAGCCAATGTATTACCAACCAACAAAACAAAATTACTAAGGACGGCTCAAGTGAGTTAAGGGAGTCCCTTATCGGTTGATTACAGCACGTCTGCTTGAGATTGCAACTCGTGCAAGAGTTGCTTCTTCTTACGTATTTATACTGGTCGCTAACACGTGCGGGCGATTTCTGATCCGCGCTTTCATTGGTTTATTAATTCATTACTATATTAATTATTTTATTTTGCTTTCCGCACGCAGCTTCGCCCTCATGGAATGAATCTACTTTCCCAAGGTCCACTTTATCTGGGCACCAAATTTTATTAAAACTCGTTGAGTAGTTTAGACGTGAAAACGTAACAGACACTCACACAGAGACAGAGTTATTGTTGCAATTTATAATATAGTTATGGATTAGATAAGCGTGCAGTTTAGATAATTAAACCATTCTAATACGTGTCAGTTGCACAAACATCCATGAAGGTTTAATGACGTGTTTAAGCTCTAATGAATGTTAAATTTCTAATGTAGCTTTAAACTAATGAACATCTGTGCAACTGGCTGTAACACCCTGTTTCTGAATTGCATATTTAAAGTAAAGTACGTGATAAACTATACTTAAACGCCACTAAACAGGTTTTCTTTTCTGATTTTAGTTTTTAATGATAAGTTGATAGCATTTTGATAAAAACTAGCACATAATGCCCTGTAAAAATTAAAAAAAACTGAAGTTATTGATAATAATCAGTTGAGACTATGTTCTTTTCTCAATTCCGAAACCGGCCGTAAGGTGCGCAGACGTCACCTTCACTCCGCGTGTTTATCATCGACAAGATTAAATGAGCTAGCATAATTTATTTTACGTTGTTCATTTGTCTTAATTTGTCTTCCAGGTATGTACGACTGCCCACCTAACACATATACTTACGCACCCAACTGTGTTCAGGTCGCCATGAGTAAGCGTACCTGTAGCTCCCCAACGTCGAAGCCCATGGGAATAATATGTGATTACTCGCATTGCGAGTGCCATGAACCCCTTGTATGGGATGAAAGAGCACAAAAATGCGTCTTGATTAAAGATTGTTCTGATCAAGCTAATGTGCAAAATCAAAACAAAGTGTAGAATAAATAGTGGTTATGTATTTCTTTACATTTAATCATGATTGGGGAAATAAAACAATGTATATTTTAATTTTTTTATCTTTTACCATGTTGTTAATTAAATGTTTAAAATAGTTTAAGATTTTGGCAAATTATGAAATGACCAGTGACAGAGGATTTAGATAAGGAATCAGTGTATTAATTTATGATTATTTTAATCTATACCAGTAATAAAGAAGAAAGATTTTATGGTATGTTTGCATTGAAAAGACTTCAAAACCACTGGACTGATTTTGAAAGTTTTTTCACCTACGGAAAACTACATTATACGTCAGTAAATTCTAAATTATATATTAGACAATATTAGATCCCAAATTAGGCTGCTGGTAATCAAACCCAGGACGTCAGAGAATTTTCACTCTGCCAAGGAGGTAATCAAATATAAAGTTTATAAATATTTTATGTTATCTACATATAATGGTGCCAGAAAAATCCCTAAAAGACTGCCCAGAGCTACGCTCATCTTTGACAATTTTGTTGCATATTACTCGTTTGTAAGGAATAGTTTTTCAATTAATACATCGCGTCTGAATTCGAAACAAATTCGCCCCTACTGCACAAGTTCTAATACTTATATACAATATTATCAGGTTAGCTATATTCAATTGTAATCTTTACAAAAGTTCCTGGTCTATTTTATATATTTGCGGCTAAAGAATTTAGATACCAAGAAACTTATACTCTTTAGTTATTTTCCAAAATTGTTCATGCATAACTGATGACATTTAATTGATATTAACTTAATTTTTTCCAAATATTTGACATTAACATAATCCTAAATACTTATCACCATAATATATAGTGAGGACCAACTTTTGTATCAGATAAAACTATTATCTGACCAAAATATGTCAATACGTCTCAATTTGATGTTTCCTCCTTCTGTTAATGTCATTGAATACTGGAAATAAAATAGGCTCAAGTACCAAATTATTTTTCCATTAAATCTATGGAAGTTTCTTCTGCAAAACCACGACAGAATTCAGAACATCAGCTTGCCTGGAACTGCCTAGAAGAAACATCAATGGTAGATGGCAAATGGGCTCACACTGGAGAGATAGAACTGTGTATTGCCTGATTTATCTGATACTTGCCTCATTTCAAAGTTTATAATCCAAACAAAAAGAAACGGCGTCGGTGTTTGATGCAGCAGAAAAAACGTCTGAGTTATAGCTGCCTCAAATAAAATGGAATCAGGAACAGCGACCCTTGAAAGTGGTGTTCCTCGTGGACCTGCTATATTAATATAAATACTCGTATGTGTGATCAAATGAACTGTTACAAGGAATATGTCCTGGAAAATATGGATGAGTAAGAATGGTTACAATTAAAACAAAAGGTGGGATACTGACACGGTCCGCCGCTCGCGTCGCTAGAATTCCATTGACTACTGAGTGCTGTTGAACGCACTGGGGTAGGGCATGTTAACGAACCGAGTATTTCAATATATTTTTAAAAATAAATATAGCAAAGAGGTTTAATAGCACGACTTCGAATGACGCCTCGGGCTTTTTCTTTTTAGTTTGTCATTTTTTATATACTCTTTTTCAAAAGTTCAATACATATTTCCCTTCAAAAAACTACATCATTTTCATTGTGATTTGGACTTTTATTTACTGCGAGACCCGCGTCGTCTACAAATGTCATTCGACTTCTTGTTCCATTTTTTTTATTCAACTTTTTGTGAAAATAAAATAGGTGCAATGTCCGCCATTTTCATAATATTTGCAACTCGCTACCAGTGACTTAAACCGTTTTTTAAAAGAATTCGCTTCGTGTCCTATATCCTCGCGTTTCTTACATCCATTTTCACTAATCCAGAACAAGGCATAGCTTAACTAGGAAACGCATAATACGTAATATTACTCTCACCTAAGCAGATGACCTGTCATACGTAAACGCCTAGCGCAAGGCGCCGCATAATGAATATCATAACTTTAGATATTGCTTAATTTCGTTAGGTGGTTCCTAGTCAATAGTGAAATGCATTTTGACCTTGGGAGATTCCTAAACATTTAGGCGCCAGATTTGGGAGACTCCTAAGTTGTGAAAACGGGCATTAATGATGTAAGTACCGAGCAGAAAATTACTTAATGATAAATTTAAGCCATTGGCGATGGCATATAGAAAACATTATTGGAAACGTAAAAAACATTTTTTTTTTATCACTTGAACCTTTTTATTTCCGGCATTCAATTTGCTTGAGGTTTAAACCAAGTATCGACTAACTGTTGGTATGTGACGTTTAGAGTTTTAGAATACGCCAACCACTTTGAATAGATATATCTATATATAACTATAATTGGTATATATAGAAATGCATTCGGTTAAATTAATTAATAAACCAATCATGCTATAACAGATAAAGATTTACGATATTAGAATTACGTTATGAGGGGTCAATTTACACAGATAAAGTACATAACATGTGACAAACAGATACACATGACTTACAGCTGCGATCATATTTGTCGTCACTATACAATACCTACCCAATTATACAGTATGATGTTTTATTTTTATGTAGGTAATAGTTTGTTATATTTAAAAATATAGCATTTATCGCACTCCGGAAGGCACGTTAAGTCATTGGTCCCTGCTGTATTTGCAGTCCATAATACCGTCCAATCCGCATTGGGCCAGCGTGAAGGGTTACGGCCCACCCTCCTTAATCATCCATAAGGAAGCCTGAGCTCCTGCAGTGGAGACGTAAAAGGGCTGGTGATGAGTTTACGTTTTTTACACGACTGCTCATAAAAAAACACATTGATCACACCAAAGATGATTTTATAAATATGTAGGTACTAGTAATTAAAAGGATAAATAAGTCAGCTTGCATATTTAAAAAAAAACATAATCTGATGGACTTCATTTACTTTTGATTACGACTCAGGTGACCTGGAGATAAAATATTTTGTGATTAATTATATATTATAAATTGAAGACACGTCGTGATACAAAGTGGAACCAAATTCCAAATTTTCCCATTGTAGTTGGTGGACTTTATATCTCTAATCTTATATACTATTACAGAGTATTCGTTTTTCTTAATTAATTATTTTAAAAAAGTCTCTGAGTGCAATAAGATAAATAGAAAATGTTTTGTTGACCAATACAATATCAAACAGTATGTATATAACTTCCATATCTCTTAGTACCGATCTTTTATAGAGATCGGAAAAGTGAGACAATACGTTACACAGCGCATTAATGTAGTAATATAATCTAAGATATAGAAATCAGTTTTTAATATTAGTAAAAGTCTGTGGTGATCTTAACGCTTCCCTCTATTATTAATCTGGTGAGATTCAAATAATAAATATTGTAATGTTGTTTTAAGCTTTAATAGTTATACAAATGATATATTTTTGTGGGCTTACAATCCCGAAAAAACTATTAAGGATCATTCTAATGAATATAGGTATTTTATCTTAATGAACATTGATTTTACTTATATCCGATCTGTTTGGCGTTGTTTTGTCAAACTACATGGAAAAGAACTTGCTTTTTCATGATTTTAGATGAAAATATATGTTTGATTTAAATAAGTATGTTAATTTAAATGTTTTTTCTTCATAATGCTAATTGAGTTTCATGCTATGACAACTGTAATATTTTGTATTAAATAATTAAAAATTGTTGATTAGTATTAATTTACATTGCTGGGCACGTTATCTAAGTTTTCTTATATATCCCTAACGTTTTTCAAAATATTCTATAGCCTATTTGTATGAGAAATAATTTATTTTCAGTATTTTAGAAGTCTATTGAACGCAAACAAAATAACAATCAAATTTTTGTCTCGCTATATCACAGTATATAAGTCATGTTTAAAATTAAAATATAATAATCAACTACTAAATATAATAAGTAGTTCGGTGGCGTAGTGGATAAGCGCCGCGGCCCGCGATCGTAGTCGTTAAGCAACTTTCGCAAGGGTCGGTCACGGGATGGGTGACCAAAAAATTATTATCTCGAGCTACTCCGTGCTTCGGAAGGCACGTTAAGCCGTTGGTCCCGGCTGCATTTGCAGTCGTTAATACCCTCCAATCCGCATTGGGCCAGCGTGGAGGGTCATGGCCCATCCTCCTTGACCATCCATAAGGAAGGCCTGAGCCCCTGCAGTGGGGACGTAAAAGGGCTGATGATAATGAATCAACTACTATCAAAATTCAACTAAATCTATTAAATTAGTTAATTAACGATTTTCAATTCACAGATTCGTGAAAAGTCATGAGGCATAGAACAATTTCAACATTCATAATAACAACGGTATTTCTACAGACAGCTAGTTCTCCGGTTGATTCCGATCATCTAGTGGTTCATAGTGATGAGTGTACAATGTCATCATCGTGTTCATCATGTCTGAATAAAAGTTATTGCTCATGGTGTGTTATTAAGAGCAAGTGCACTAAACAAGCATGCGGGAACGACAACATCATCTACCCTGTACAAAAAAAGGCTTTGATGTCGGGCCCTAGCTTTTGCCCTAGAACTGTTGATCCTGAATATGATCTCATATTTGAGAGCGGCAAAAAGCAAATAATAGCAGTGAAAATAACTCAAATATATTTATATATGGCGTTCAAAGAGTGGACTTGTAGGATAAGTTTGACCGGAAAAATTAAAATGGTTAATGCAATCCTTTTGGGTGACGAGGTTTATTGTGATTCTGCAGAATTAATTAATGATAGCGATAGCGCGTACGTAGAAGGTTATATTGAAATCATCTGGGAACGCAGTAAGAAATTTGATGGAATGACACCATTTAAAGTATGCAGGTGTGATATAGATCCGAGTTGCATTGCCTGTAATAAATATAATCGGAAATAGAAGGAAAGGAATTTATGAGCTGCGTAATGCTATGATAGAAATCAAAATAATTCAAGGCATTGGTTTTGCGTGTAGGTTCTATTTTTAGAGCGTCAATAACAGCTATAAGGTAAAACTGGGAAAGATACTACTGTGAGATTTGTTTTTAATTAAACAATCCTCAGAAACTATCGCTCGATATGTAGAAAACTGAAAGAATTTTACAGCTCAAATT